GCTGCCTTCCCTCTAGTCTTATACTGCTAAATTAGGGACGACTAGCGCAGATAGCCCTCGTGTAGCTTTGCGCGAAATTCAAAACAGACAAACAAACAAACTGGACCAGAGAGGGTCGGGTTCAGCGTAGAACTCTTAAATATGATAGTTTTGAACTAACTTATTGGTCTGAATTTCAAGAAAAGCAACACGAGGGTTATCTGCACTAGTCGTCTCTAACTTAGCAGTGATATAAATTAGAGGGAAGGCAGCTAGTCAACACCTCCCACCGCCAACACTTAGGCTACTATTTTACCAACGAAGAGTGGTTTTAACCGTTACATTATAACGCCTCCACGGCTGAAAGCATGTTCAGTGACAGGGATTCGAACCTGCGATCCTCAAGTTGAGGGTCGAGCACCCTAACCACCAGACCATGCTAGATCTTTAACCTATCGAACACTAGGCCATTTCAGAACTACAATTTTTTTGGAACTGAAGACAACTTTGAAAGGAGGCATAAAACTAAATGTTTTTTTTGTAAAAACTACAGAAATAGATATATCTCCAATCCAGGTATAACTTAGTATCTGAATACCAGATATTAGAAATATTTTTTTAATAGATATATCTCCAATCCAGGTATAACTTAGTATCTGAATACCAGATATTAGAAATATTTTTTTAATAGATATATCTCCAATCCAGGTATAACTTAGTATCTGAATACCAGATATTAGAAACATTTTTGTTGTTGTTGTTGAAAATTCGTGACATTTTTTCAATTATTGCGTCATTGGGTAGAAATATCTGCGTTTAAAATTCTTGTCTTCACCAATTTAACCTGCATTAGGCCCTGAAAACTGGATATTGCGTTATTTTAAACTTTAAAATTAGGAAGATTGTACCATTTATTGACATCTCATCCACAATCGTTACGTTTTCAATAAAGAAATCAACGTTCACTACAACATATATATACGATCTTAATCAAATATTTCTTTTATATTGCAATTTATATATAGTTTTTAGACGATGTAAACCTAGAATTTTTACCTTATAGCTTGTTTATCAATTCTAAGAGAGTGAATGTATAATAATTTGTCAACCACACTATACATGCCATATCCAGTGCCGACGAGGCCTTTCCCTCAATTCCAAAACATTCCAAAACAGCTTTAAATACAAAGACCTTGTTGACCACTATTTTTATATTAAAGGCTTCGTTTACACAGACCGTTACTGTTGTTTTTTATTGAAATTGGTTTACTTAAGTGATATTGGCTACAGAACACAATATTTTTCAATTATTAGTCATATTTTATATCAATTTACTTACCTTGAGCCACAATATACGCATTTGGTTTCAGTAAGCTCTGAAAAATAAAAACAAACTCGGATGACAAAAAATAATCTCAAACATAAATCATATAAATAACATAGAAGTTTTGTTTTTATATATTTTACGGAATTTTATGGCTTATCCTATTGTAAAATGAGTCTGCGTGTGTGTAAATATATATATATATAATATACATATATGTTTTTTGTCTGCGTATTTATAAATTTACTTCTGAAAAAGAAAATATTCAACTATCACAAAATTGATTGTTTCATTTCTAGCACGTGACTTTAAAATTAAGCCAATCAAAAGGAGTTCGACATTTTCTTTCATATACAGTGTTATATTGTTTCTATAACGCTAAAGAAGATAGCTGGATAAGCCAGACTTAACGTATACATTTCTCAGATTTGCCGAAAGCAGAGTTGAACAGCATCAAAAAAAAATAAGGACACTGAGCGAAAAAAACAAACAAACCTCGTCGCCACGTTTTGTTTATGGCCAGCGATGTGTACTAAATGTGTTCTGGGGTAATATCCTTTAAACCTAGTAAGACCAGAAAGAGTTATATGTAACCTGTTTATTTCCATACTAACACTATTCACATATCGCATACAGTGAAAGATTACTCCGCTCTTTCCTTTACAGTGATAAAGCCGTGTAGTTTTGTCTTGAGAATGACACAAGAAAACAAGTATAGTGATTTGGTATGGTGTCGTCAAAGTTTAATAATGGTAAACAAACTCCACATCACTCGATAGCTTCACACTGGTTCTGAATACTAGCTCATGATTAAAGTAAGCTTTGGTTTGAAGTTTGGCACAAAGCAACACAATGGGCTATCTGTGCTCTGCCCAACACGGGTATCGAAATCAGGTTTTTAGCGTTGTAAGTCCGCAGACATAAAATAAGCTAGCTACACAGATCAGAACTGAATATAAACCGAGTAGTGAACACGGATGATTTAATATGCTGTGTTAAGTTATTACTTAGAATGTATTGTTTATCAATTACCGTTGCTGTTAGCGATATTTTCGGCTGTAATCCCAATAATATCATGCGAGATTCGGCCAGTTTAGGGCATTGAAATTATTCATAAATCCATAGTATTGATGAAAGTATATTTTACAAAGTGTAACTTACAGAAGACATAAACACAAGTGGTTAACTTCATTACACCATCGCATATTTCATGTTCCTTGAAGGATAACCATGACTTAAATGTATACGTTTACGTTAGTCATAAATAACAGCCAAGTACGTTCCATTGGTTAGCATGCCAGGCTTTGAATCTCAATGTTCCATGGTTCACGTCCCGTTACCGCCAAAACAAATTGTGCTCCGCGCTTTAGGGTCACGAATGCGTTATAAGAATAATGGTCAAATGCCATCTTTCGGTTTGACAAGAGTAGCCCAAGAGTTGGCGATGGATGTTGTTGACTACTTGCATTGCCACTTGTCTTTCACTTCAAAGTTAGGGAAGAATATCGCTGGTAACCCTCGTGTAGTATTGAACCTTATCGTGCGGTTAGAGATTAGCTAGTTACCAGGGTAATTGTAACAATAGTTGACTGGTAAACTCTTATCCATGAGGTGGAGAAGTTTCTGGAAAACTATAGCTAGGCGTTGTTGTCACATTAATTAAATCTCAAGAGACCGTGTTTGATTTCCCCTAATGCGTTTCAATCAGATGAGTTAGTCCGACGCAACTGAGCAACTGTGACTATGTAACAAGTGTAGATTTGTTGAAAAACAAAGACGAGTTCAATATTTTATGGGAGAGAAACATGGGATCTTACGAAAATTAAAAAACAAACCTTCTCGAAACCATATACTTAAAAAACAACATATCTCAAAAGATAAAGCACTCATCTCAAAACTCATTTGTACACAACTTCAGTACACTTTTAAACAAAGCTGGATAAACCAGAGTGTACTAAAATTGATGAAATGACCGGGTATCGTCTTTTGTTCCTTGGCTTCCTTTATTCAATCTCACACATAAATATATATATATATAATGGAAGTGGTAGCTTGAAACCTAAGTTTGACCTCGGTACAACATTGACTCTAGTTACAGCGATGGAAATAACTATATATGTCAGGTAGCACGTGGTGATTACGTCGCAACTTCAAGTTTGTCCCATCCAATCACGAATGCGATCAGGTAGCACGTGGTGATTACGTCACAACTTCAAGTTTGTCCCATCCAATCACGAATGCTATTATTGTTTGCTTCACCCAGAAGTTCTCGCAAAGCTACACAAGGATTATCTGCGCTAACCGTCCCTGATTTTGAACTGATAGACTAGAGGAGAGGTTGCTAATCTACAGCAGACACTGTCAACTCTTGATCTAATCTAATCGAATAGTGGGATTTAACGGTCACTCTTATAACGCACCCACTGCCTCAACGTGCGGGACTAGTTTTTACTGCAAGAACGCGAACAATGAGCCCTGAGATTCACAGTCCGGCAGTAAACTACCGGGCCACGCCCAGCCCCATCGTGAAGGAGAAAATGTTGTTTAATTCTTATTATCATTCTGTTTGATTTGTACAAATGGTAGTTATGAATAATTTGTTACATCTCTACATTTTCATTTTCTGGCTTTTATGATTCTACAGCTAGCTATCTGGAAGATAAATAGTATATATAGAAATTCTCCTTTTTATTTTTGTTTTAATATTCCTATAATTCCAGGCCCGGCATGGCCAGGTGGTTAGGGCTCGCCCTTTCAGCCGTGGGTCAATCCCACTATTCGTTGGTAAAAGAGTAGCCCAAGAGTTGGCGGTGGGTGGTGATGACTAGCTGCCTTCCCTCTAGTCATACACTGCTAAATTAAGGACGGTTAGCGCAGATAGCCCTCGTGTAGCTTTGCGCGAAATTCAAAACAAACAAACCTATAACTCCTGATACGAACCTTAAAAAACAAAAAAACACTCATAAAGTTGAAAGATACAGAGAGACTGGGTACAGTCATGAAAATTTATAAGTTTTCAGAAGATTTTTGTCCGAACGTAGAGAACACAGTATTGAAATACGATGATTGACCCTGGTTTACGGTGTAACGAAAAACTAAAATAAAGGCAGCGAAATTTAGATGTCCACAAATATAATGCTTGATTTTTTCTATATTATATTATTATTTTTATACTACTTAAATAAATAATATTTTCTTTATTTAAACTTACATCAATGTAGGAGGCGTTGATGTAGTCTGAATCCGGGACTCCAGGAATAGGTTCTAAAACGACTCTATTGTAATCGTCTGCAAGAATATAACACAGATTATCACATCTTTGTTCTTACTTTCTGCCGCTTATAAACTAAAATATAAATATATTTGTAGAAAAAGTTGCTTTTCCAGTACTTATGATAAACTGTATTGATACATATCTGCTTGTTTGTTAACTTCCCGTAGAAATTCTTTCCGAGAAACTTCAGTGATACAAGTCCTTTCTTAATTAAAACTAGTTTATTCTTTCTCGTTACAAACTTTGTGATACACTTAATTTCCACAGTCACTTTAAACTTAACAACTTTTATAAACACATGCTATAATTCACAGCGATTCACACATTTTACTTACGGTGCCTTCTGCTTGCTTGACTCGATTATCTCCATTATTTCTCTTCAATCTATTTCCGGCTTCTATACTAAAAAAAGAGGGCGTCTAGCAAATGCTGGGACATTCGTGAGGTTGCCTGCTAAGTTAGAATCCTTCTAGAAACTCCAGCGCGCATGCTCCCAGTGCCTCGTGACTTGCTCTGTCGTAACAGTATTCTTCCAGTATTTTTAGGCGACAAAGTAGTGGTAAGCCTTATGCTACCTTTAATTTACACCCAATGATTAAATTATGCTACAAATAGGCCTACTGTTACTAATGTTAGACTCAAATAATATTTAGTTACATGTGTAGAAATATGAACACATATTATATAAATAATGCAATAAAATAAATTAACACTTCTTTAATTATGTGAAATCATATCAAAATCGTTTATTACTGGTAAAACCTCTCCAACTGCACTCTCACTGCTACTGAAATGAATAATCTCAACAAATGAATCCATGGAAGAAAAAATAACATCCATGAACAAGAAAATGTTTTGTTTAAAATATTTATTCTTAAAAAATAACTAGTTTCCAATGGATTCCCTCGGTCATCTTTGATAAAAGTCTAAACTCCTGAAATTTATCTTCTAGGCTTAAAGTCATACATGTATATCGGGATCATTTCGTCAACAAAAGAAATGCATAGCTTATATGTTGATATTTGCTGATAGTGATCAGTCAAAATATAATTGGGCAAAACTTTTTCAGTTTGTGAAAGGTTTTGCACTGGGTCGTAACGTTATTTTACTGTCCTTTCCTACAATATATTCACAGTAATATTCAATTGTAATCACTCTCCTAAGCTTTATGCCCTGGGCATTATTTAAAAACATGTATGCACAAATTACAGGTGATAAGAAGTTCAGACTTTGTTTATTCATTAAATAACATGGTTAATTAGTTGGCTATAGTATTCACTCACATGTGCATGTTCAATTTCTAATCAACATAACAATGCACCACTTGTTTCACAAAGACTGATCAGCTGTTAGGATTGCTCTTTGCACTATACATGAGCATATTGATTTTTCCTAGTGTGTGAGGCCACAAAAATCTACTGTACACTGTATTCTGGATTGCACTATATCTGGGTATTTACTGTATTTCAGTTAAGTCATATAATTGTAATGAATTTTAAAGGTATTAATTTTTTATGTACATGAAATTAAGAAAAAAATTAAATGCAGATGTCGATTCTGGCACTATCCAGAGGACTTACCAAGCACGAGTGTTGTAATTGTGTTCCACAATGAAGGTTGGTCAACGCTTTTACGGACGATACACAGTGTTCTGAACCGATCTCCACCCCAGTTTTTGAAAGAGATTACTTTAGTTGATGATTACAGTAATAAAGGTATGCATTTATACATCAATTTTTTAAGTGCACGTAAAGAGCAATTATGTAAGCTTATTTTTTTGTATAAAACAGCATTTCTGGCTGTTTACTTTAACATTCAAAATGTATATGTTGTAGCTGTGTATGAGTAACACTTATACATAGTCAGTAAAAATGACTCAAATACTTAAAAGTAGTCATGGGTTTTTAAGCAGATAGTTTCTACAATGAACTCTAATAACACTTGAAACAAGCTTCTATAAAAATGTAAACACATTTGCAGCTGTTGTGGTAATCATTGTTCACTGAGTGACAAGCCAAAGTCACCAATATGAGTTGCAACAGTTTACATTAATTAAATTTCCTGCTTCTCAGTTAAGCTATTTACATTTTGGAACATCAGAGTTCATCTGGGATCTGACCAGAGTTTGATTACTTTATATTGCTTTTTTGCCAAAGACAAATAAAATTTATGAAGGAAAAAAAACAAAAAAGTTCATAGGTAGTTGACAAACAATGTCAGTCAGTGGAAATAATGACAGATAAATCACATTATTCATTATCTAATAAGTCACATATAAAAAGGAAGAAGACTCCTTAGAAAATTATTCCCATACATGCACATTTATGATGTGTAATTGAACCCGACCTCATTGTGTATGTGTGTGAGTGTGTATACATATATTTGACAAGTTACATATTCAATATGTACTTTTATCATTGAGCATACATATCCCAGTTATTTCTAGCATCTTTAATAATTTTTATTTCCAACACGATATATTACTTCCACTCACCTACTAGCTTTTCTCAAGTTGTACTGACCTCTATGTTCTCACTCGCCACTAAGCTTAATACTCCTATCTAACCTCACATGTATTCACATGAGGCAGCTGCATCATAGCGTGCAAATAAGCATGTGGCAACCTTCGCAACTGCTAGCACAACTGACTCCCTCTATACAGATTGGTCCAATTTCAATTCGTGATTGGCACTCATAGTGTTTAGTTGTGATTTTTGCATGAGTTTTACTCACATAATTTGAACCATTTACTTGTTGTTGTTTTTTTTGAGAACTTAGTTGTTGTTTTTTTAGTTCTCCAAATTATTGTTTGTTTATGTTAACATTATGTGTCTTTAAATTTCCACTCAGTTGAGAATAGGGTAGTGGTGTTCTGCCAGTTTAGAACGTGTATAGACACTCCTCCTACTCTGAACTTGATGATCTATTTGAGATGCTACATAATTCTGCACATATGAGTTGTCCGGGTACCCTCCTCCTTCTGTGAACTGAACAATTCATTCCCAATGCTGTGTGGTTCTGGACTGGAGTTGAACTGCCACATTGCTGTTCACCTTCCTACCGTTGTCCAGGTGTTGGTTGAGGTTGAACTCCCCCATACAGTCTGCTGCATCCTAGCTACTAATTTAAGGGGTTCTTTTTGTAATTCCACTCTTATTGTGACACATCAGTTTCATGGGTGAAGATTTTTCCTGGCTCAGAAGTGGTGTGGTCTTCTAGGGTGTGTCTTACTCTTTATCACACACACCATGGGCTTTTTTTGGGCACTTTTTGAAGGGAGCTCATCTAGGTAATGTTACACAGGTTCCTCCACCAGGTCAGTGTAGGATTCTAGCTATTGTGTGAGAGGAGGTAAGAATCTATGGAAAATATATTCTTAGTGTAGAAAAATGTTAACTTATATGGTTACTGTAATAAAATTTATCATTAACACTTAAGTGTGTCTGGTTTGTTCTAATAATTTAAAATGGCAATTACATAAAAGGAATATTTTCTAGATAAATAAGATTTAAATTTATCATATGCAGGTTTTATTTTAGAATATAAAACTTGCCTTTTCTCATGGTTGTTTGTCGATCGTTTGTAAATAGGTTAACTTACCACTAATCTGATACACAACAATGGGGTTTTATCAGTGATAAAGTGTTAGAAGAAGGATGTAGGCCTATTTTGTAGATGTTATGATATTGAGTAATGTATTTTAAATCAAGACACAGAAAAGTTTCAACTGTTTATATAATAACAGTGAAGTAAGTGCATAGTAGTTTCAACTAAATGATACAGTATGCAATTAGGTCAATTTTTGATTCATTATTGAGGATTTGTTTAGGGAAAAGGAAACTTGACTAAATGAAATGTTAACATGTAAAAAAATGTAAATATAATCTAGTATCTTACCTCTGCTATGACTATTACCTATTACTTTGATTATTTTCCCTAGATATAGACATTCTAATTATTTTATTGTTTCCTTATTTAGTACTTGACTGTACATGATCTGTAAATTTACTCTTGTGACAATCTGATGTGATTAATTATATATGTCATAAACCCTCTGTCGAGGTGACATGAGTCCAGTCAATTTTATCCACATACATTTTATGATTCTGAGCTGACATCCACCTGATAAACCTTATTTTGTCACACTTTAATTTGGTAGTGTTATCTCACTTTTGCTTTCAAATTCACTTTTTTTTTTCATTGGATTTCTTCATGGAAGTGATCTAACCATGAAGGATTGGGTTCAGAGTGAGGTTTAGTAGTTTGACCATTTGTTTAGTTGTTATAACTAACTTCTTTTTTTTCAAAGAAAAGAAACCAATCACAAAAATAATGTACAAAAGCTCTTCTAACTCTTAAAAATATATTTTTTTTTACCCTCCCATGATACTATTTTTTTATACTTTTTACAAAGGAGTAGATTATATATCTTTCACCTAAAACTTATTTCACTTCAGTGAAATCAAAAAAATTTATTTAGCATGTATTCATGATTCTAAACTTCCTATTTGAATGACCTTGTCTGATACAGATAAGGCTATATATAAAATGTAAAGTTTAAAAATGAGAGCTGGCTTTTAGAGGATATGGCAAAATGCACAAGAGAAGCAAAGTAGGTTGATAGAGAGGCATTCTATCCATAGGTGACTCCTTATAAATAGATTTGCCAGTAAAAATACTTTATTATAAATCTTGCCTTTGTCATGTAGAATGTAAGACCTTGTATGTTATTCAATAACCGATATGTTTCAACAAAGGTTATATTTTTGTGTGCATAATGCACACCAACAATTGTTTGAACTTTTGTTTTGTATATCTTACAGTTAACATTATTTTTCAGATTACATTGCACTATTACTTTGACTAAGACACAATAGTTATAATTCATAGTTATTTGTTCTCAGCTATAAAATGTAAATGTAGTTTGTGCTTTCAATAACTTGTTTTACAGCTTATTAAAAAATTACTTATACATAATTTTTTTCTACTTACCATTTACTGTTATTATCATTACTTAGAATTCATTGCAAATGAAAGGTTATCTGTGAAAGTTTCAGTGCATCTGATTGGATGTTATTTACTATATATCCTTCATCATAATATTCACTGGCTTTCTCATTAGGATTGTTTTTTTAATTTGCTTTTATGAACGAGTTTTATATGTGACATAGAATATTAAGGGTTGTCCTAATGTCTCTCCCCATTCAGGCGGACACGTGTTTATTTCAAGATGTTACCTTCACACTTGTTTAAGCTAGTAGTTTAAAATTAGCTACATTCTCTGTCTCTTATGAATTTAATTTTATATATTTTAATTTGTATATAAGTGTGTATTAATAAAAATAAATAAAATGTGTTTGCTCCTACATTATTAAGCTTCACATTAATGTATCATGTTTTAAAATGGTACCATTACTACTTGGCTTTTTTTCTGTTTGTTTTGATCTTTTTCCTGATCCTCCTATTCATAATTTTATTTTAAGTGTGTGTTGAAGTGTTACAGGAAATTTCATCACTACATTTATTGCCATCTCTCATTAATTATTTTTTTTTACATTGCACTCATACTTTACCTTTTTTTTGTTTCTAACTTGTTTAGAGTGACACTTGTAAAAAAAGATAGAAAGGACGGGATTTTGAAAGCCTTCTATCTTTTGTCTTCAGGTCAGATTGTGCTGGTTTCTGCTGGGGTTTATATGGTATCCAGGAGGAGTGAATGGACATGATGTGATTGACTGGTAGCTCTTGTAACATGGTTGGTGGAACTAGTAATGATTTAACCAACAGTAGCCACAAACTATTTATATCCAGTTCTGAGTGTCTGTTTGGTGATGGTTTCATTGTATTGCTATTGAAAGATTTTTTTATTTTTCTCATTTTCAAAAATTTATCTGAGTCAGTATGTCTGTAATTGTCCCAGTTAATTTTATATCTCATCAACATGGTATGCTCAACTAGGACAGAATTCTGTGTTTTTGTCCAGCTTGCACAGTTTTTATGTTCCTTTATTCTTGCCCCAAAATGTCCAGTTTCTCCAATGCAGGTTTGTCTACAGGAACATGGTATTTAATAAGTGATGTTTTAGTTGTTTTTGTTTACTTTTGACAAGGATAGAACTGTGGGTTCTGTAAGATTTACAGTGGGCATATAAACTTTTTTGGCTACAAATTTGATTTTCTCACTTTGGTTTTGTGCATAAGAGAGGTGAATAGTGTTGAACTTGTTTTTCTTGTTTGTTTTGTCAGTTGGTATTTTAATGTTCTTCAAGTTACTGATGATGAAACTTAGAAGGGAATGTGTTATGTTTATAACACTGTATGATGTGTTGGCATTTGATTTTGATGTAGTTTTCATTGAAGATGTTTTCAGCTCAGTTGTTTAAGTACTTAATGATACTATTTGTAACAGAAGGTGGATGGTAAGACAGGATATGTAAGTGTATGTTGGTGGGAGTTGGTTTCCTGTGTGTGGTTATTTTGAGTTTATTATTCTGTCTGATGATAGAAATGTCAAGGAATAGCAGGCTGTTGTGGCTCTCCATTCCAATGGTGAAGTGGATTCCTAAGTTAAGGTGTTGTAAGAAGGCTAGTAAGTAAGACTATGGGGCTAGATAACAAATGCCTTACCCTCACTACTCTTTTACATTATCTATCCTCCATCCATCTCCTTTTCGAAGCAATCCCTTTCTTTTTTCTATATTGGCATGGTCTTCTTCCCCAGTCTTGTCCTTTCTGACTTGGTTACTCTGTTGCTGGGATTTGTTGGAGAGGGAAGCCCTTCTTGCGAAAGTATTTCTACTTCTCTCTTATCTCAAGGACCTTTGTCTTTCCTCTCCCGGTGGGTTTTTAGTAGGGTACCTGATTCTTTGTAAACATGAGTTGAGGCTGTGCACCAGCACTTTTCCTTTACTATCCTTGTGTCCTGTCTTCCCAAGCTCCTTCCCTTCTATTTGCTGTCTCCCATCCTCCTGACTCGTTTTTGCTCCCTTTCGGGTTTTCAGGTGGTCTGTTGTTGGATTGGCACAGGACTAGCCAGCATAAATACTCACTCATATGCAGGGTGGCTATTACTTTCCTGTTCTGTCTCACTGGGTTTGAGATGAAGATGGTAGGGACATTTCTTCTGCTGAGGTATAGAAGCTAAATTCCCAGTGCTGCCTGGTTTTGGACTGGAGCTGATCCATCATGTAGGGTCTGACATGTCCTAGCCACATTGCATATATGGCACTTCTGAAAGCCTGATGCAGGTTTTGGACTGTGCTTGTATCTACCATCCATCCTTCTGATACTTTCCTTTCTTTTTGGGTGAAGAGCATACCCTGGTACAGATGAGGTGTGGTCTCCCACAAGTGTGCACCTATACTGTTCCTAGGTATGGGGTGTTGTACTCCATGGGTTCTCTTTAGGTAAAGGAGCCTCATCTAGATAAAGTGTTGCACCAGGATTGCACGTGGGATTCTAGCTAGATTTGAGTGGAGGTTACATATTGCATTGGAAGTTAACGTCTTCCAACACTGAAAATGTATTTCCTGTAGATACTTCCTCCCCACTTCTTGAGCCTATTCTTGAAGTGATGATTGAACAATCAGTATAGAGGGAGCCAGCTGTGCAAGGAAGCAGTGTTGCACTCCTATGGGTGGAGGGTTGTTGCATGCACAAGATTAAGTGGGAGCTTCAAGGCTAGTGTCATGCAAAAAGGTTAGCATATAGAGGTCAGTAATGTGAGGAAAGGTATCTATTGGAAATAAACTTTCAGTGTTGGAAAATGTTAACTTCCTTGCAACATAGTAAGAATGTGATGTGCTTGTAGCATCGTGTAAGGTTAGATAAATTTTTTGTTGATTGAAGCTTGGTCATAAAAGCTTTTTTAGGTATTATTTTATAGATGCCTTAAGCAGAGTATTGATGATGATGAAACAAAAGTAAAATGGGCAGCAACTGCTTAGTTCATAGTGAGGCTTGTAGAAATGTAGTTCAGGCTGAAAGGTGAGCTTGCATTTTTATTTTCAGGGCTTATATGATATCCATCAGAATTGAAGTGGATGTGACATGATTGGTTGGTGGTTCTTGTAACATGATTGGTGGAACAAGTGGTGATTTGATCAGTGATAGCCACAAACTTCTAATTTAGGTTCTTTTATTTTTGCCACAAAATGTCTTTCAGTTTCTCCAAGGTAGGTCTGTTTACAGGAACATTGTATTTCATAAATTCTGGAAAGCAAAAAATGTCAGATAATTTTTCCAGAACAAGAAGATGGCTCTTTTTTGTTGATTCTAGGCTATACTTTTCTATGCATAGGTATTAATTTCTGAAGGGATACTATCTAGTTTAGTAAATTATGTTCATACCATACTTAAACTTCCTTTGAAGATTTTGTTTGGTGACAGCTACCAGAATGCTATTGGAAGATGCTCTACAAATGACAGTTGTGGAAGTCTACAAATGTTTTTACTTTGCCTTACTTTCACTTGTCAAGCATTTTCAGTAAATATCTTCATTGATCACTTACCTGGTGTTTGCCCAACTTCATCTTCTCTGCACATTTTATTTTCCATCATGAATTCACTTCTTAGTTTGCAAACTTATTAATGACAGTGTTTGGCACACTGTTTGTTGTTAAAATACTTGATTCACTGTATACATTATTAATCAACTTTCTGGATATTTCTCAGTACCAGAGCCACTGGCTTCACTAAAGTAGATCTTTTTTTGACTTTTCACTGATGAATTACATTGTTTTTAACCTTCTTAGAAAGTAGCATGCAACATGCTAGGAAAATGTACACCTGCTCCAGTTTTGGTTGTAAAGTTACAGAATATTGCATTCATGCCTACTTTGAGAACAGGTCATCACTAAATGACCCATTGCTCAACTCTTCATAATGGTTTGGTCTCAGCAGGTCATGCCAAACCTCTGATACAAAATTTTTCCCAAAAATTCCCCCCCTCAAAATTTTTCCATGTTGAAAATTTGAGGATTCATGATACATGGTTACCATTGTGAAACCATGTCACTGGCTTAAATGGTGCATCACTTATCATAATGCCAGTTTCTTTTCATGGCCTGTGTCACATAAAAGTAGGTGTCAATTTGAATTTCAGTTTTAGATAAAAATGACAGCGTTGAACAAGAACTTGTCAGTTGGGGTTTATTTGTAGCCAATATTTAGCTATTGCTTTGCCAAGAAGACAAAGGAATGGTTTTGGTTTAACCTTTACAAGTTATTGTAGTTTTTTTGTATTATATACTACCTTTTTACTAATACTTATTTCATTAATGTTAGAAGCTGCTAAAATTTTCATCTAGAATTTTTTGTTTTTTTCAGTAAATTGTAATAGTAAAATATTCTTGTACTTTGGATACGAAAAGTTATACCATGATTTTCGTACAGCTGGAAATTTGTGTAAACTATTTTTAAATTGAAAAATATAATTTCATGTTTTTAACTAGGGTAATGAGCTTTAAATACAATTAGTTTTACATATTTTTTTTGAAATGCTTAATAAATAAACCAATTTAAGAAGCTATTTGTTTTTTTTTATTTAAAGGTGTTTTTTTATGTTATTCACAGATTAAATACTCTAGTTCTTTGCAAGAAGTCAGTGTATGTTGCACCATCATAATAGTTATTTAGTGCTAAAAATAAATTGACAATGCTCACGACGTAGATTAGATGTGAAACAAATGTTGAGTTTTATCAATAATCAGACACTGCTATTGGATACTTTTAAGAGTAAGACAAACAATTCTGTTTTTTCTGTAAAGAAGCAACTGATTCTATTGCAGAAAATATTTATGACTTGCATATGTTCTTTGTATTGTTTAAAACAAATGTGAATATAAGAATATTTCAATGAAGAACACCTGAAAGGAGAATTAGAAGATTACATTCGTCAGTTTAAAGGAAAAGTACGACTTCTACGCAACAAGAAGCGTGAGGGCTTGATTCGTTCTCGTACATTTGGAGCGCAAGAATCAAAAGGAGAAGTTGTACTGTTTCTGGATGCCCACTGTGAGGTTAACACTAACTGGCTTCCTCCCTTACTGGCTCCTATATACATGAACAAGTAAGTTGTTTAACACTAACTGGCTTCTTTCATTACTGGATTCTACATATACATGAACAAATAAGTCTTTTAACATTAACTGGCTTCCTCCATTACTGGATCGTACATACACATGAGTAAGTAAGTTGTTCAACATTAACTGGCTTCCTCCATTACAGGCTCCTACATAGATATGAACAAGTAAGTTGTTTAATACCATCTAGCTTCCTTAATTTCTGGCTTTTAAGTGTTAAATGTTTAAACATAAATCAGATTTCAACCCCTGCTGAGGAAGTATGTGATATTGGTAATAAAAGTTAAGACATGTCAGTTTCCTTGTTGAGCCAACAAAATTATGACGTACCAGAATTTCATGTGGTTCTATAATTGAGTGTTCTTGTACCTCTTGTTAAAGTTTAAAATTGTGTACTTTAATATTATATTATCAGAAATAAAACTTCCTAATGACTGCTCAGTGTAACTGTTATTTGCTTTCAGTATTCTGAATACCAATCATCACTACCATTCTGTCTTATTTGTGACTGCCTTTTCTTAAAGAGATCACTAGCCAGTTATATTTATTTTTCTGGTGAACTTCATGAATACTAGGGGAAGTTCTAGCAAAAGTACAATATATTAACACGTTCATGACATTGTGCATCACTGGTGGTACACATGCATGTTTTCTGTTGGACGTCATGAGCCACCCATGGTACACAGCACCCATAAGATATAACTGCATCTCACATCTCCAAAGTCCTGTATGAAGCATTTATTTTATACAGATGGCTGTGATAAAGCCATGCCTTCCATCATGTACCATTAGTGGAGCATGGATGCCATGTTGAAAGGACAACTGAAATAAAACACATTTACTCGATTTAATCACTTTTATTTTAATATTATACATGACTGCCAAAGCTTAAATGGGTAAAGACAGGATGTCATGTGCCACTGGTGATGCACTCATGAGAAAGCTGTCAATGCAGTCATTTTGACATAAAACATAAGATAAAGCCATGAAATTAACAGTTTCTAAAACAGAGTTCACAATTGTGCTTATTGTTATTATTGCATAATTAGAAAAATCATGCCTCGAACATGTTAAAGTTAAGAAACTTTAATTTCTTTCTTATAGATTGGGACTGATCAGTCCTAGTTATTGAGAGGTAAAAAATGATCAGAGCATATTCTAAACAAGATCTAGGGCTGTTAATAATCTACAACGTTTACTTACAATCATATTTTAAAATTGGAACTTATACTGAGAGCTTGAAGTAAGAAATGCTAACTATATGTTTCTGAATTTCACATTTACCATAGCTTTGCACCCAGCTGTTACACTATACAGAACACACAAAAAAAAAGAAATCACTTGATATAAATACATATATCACTTAGTTATCAGGCAATAAAGTGTATCTTCTTGTTCCTTTCTTAACATACTTGTGATTAATGTAGAATAAGACTTGTTGGATGATAACAGTGATCTAGAGATGATTATTTGTTAATGGAAGTCTTGCCTGTGAACTGTTGTTATTAGAATCATACTATTGCAACAGTAGTTTTGAAGAGTAGAAAACCAACTGGAAAGGCAAAGTAGACTATAATTTTTTGTTTTTTCTGATTTTCATGTGATTGTGATTGTATCATAAACTTTTGTGAAAGAATTATTTGAGTCATGCAAAATATTCATACAGATACAAGTGCAAAAAATCTCTCCAATTATTTCTTTCTTGTATCAGTCATTTAAAGTGACAGCACTGTTTACAAGCCCAAAGTAACAAAATAATACTCAAGAAAATGTCAGAATATGTTTAATCTGACAGTCCAGATCAGAATAAAGTTGGTCTGATGACAATACAAAGAAAGCAGGTTTTTGATGGATCCTTAAATATCTTAAAAGTTTTTCAGTTTAGAATACAAGTTTAGAAGTTTGAAAATGTGTGAACAATTTTTGTATTTAGTCATTATTGTTTGATTAATTTTATGAAATTATTGCTTAAGATTACAGAGAGTTAATCACACTTTATAGTAACAGTTTGTAGTACACTATTACAGTACTGTGCTGTAAGCATAGTGACATGTTTAGCTCTCTTTATACACTGAGTGGTCACAAGTAAATAGACACCTAATTTTTCGTCATTTAACTGATTTATGCTAACTAATTTGTGTTCACAGAGCACTATGTAAATGAAAATGGTCCACACACTAATTATCTTGTGCTACAGCA